AATGCTTATTAGCGAAAGTTTGGTCTATAAAGCTTTCTGCTGCTCCAGAATCTAATAATGCCATCGTAGAAATAAACCCCTTTTCCCAAGCTAGAGAGACAGGAATCAGAAGCCTATGGTCTTTTTATTATGCATAGAGGACAGTAATGAAACACCCAAGGCCCGTCCTCTAAGGGAACTTAGGTGCGAGCGTTTCCCGGACGATTAGGGCAACTAAGACGTAGGTGACCTCTCTGCCCGCAGTATAAACAGAGACCCTCCCTTCTTCTGTACTGTCTCTCAGCCTCAGATAAGCGAGTATTACCTATTTGCATAGGTTCTGGTGGAGTAGGAATATAGGAGTCAGGGTTCTGAAATGAGGGAGCGAGTTTTACAGGAAGTCTAGTAACTCTTTCCCGAGTGTTCTGCCTCTGTCTCATGCGTTCATCTATTCTGGAAATGAAGGATACTAAATCCTCTAAATTTTCCGGAAGTTCTCTTGTGGCAATTTCATCTAGAATTTCATCAGACAACCCATTCAAGAATACATCCATAAAAGCTTGTTCGTTCCATTTCACTTCTGCTGCCAATGATCTAAACTCTAGAGCATATTCTACAAGGGTCCTATTCTGTTGTTTAAGGCGTAACAGGGATCTGGCCGCATTAATCTTCCTTCCTGGGGGGTCAAAGGTTCTTCTAAAAGCCGTGACAAAAGCAGTGTAGTTGTAGACTAAAGGATTGTCATTCTCCCAAAGGGGATTGGCCCATCTAAGTGCTTTATCTATTAGCAGGGTTATAATAAAGCCTACCTTAGCCCTGTCAGTGGGGTAAGCCCGGGGTTGAAGTTCGAAATGTATGCTTATCTGGTTTAAAAAACCACGACAAGCATCAGGCGAACCCCCATATCGTAACGGTGAAGTGACATGGGGAGATGCGCCTACAGTGGCTACTTCCAAACCAGTACTTAGAGAATGGCTGGCAGTGGAACGTATTTCTTCAGACTGGGTACTGGAGCGTGTTAACAAAGTTTGTAATGCTAAAGCCATTTGGTCCATTCTATGGTCCATGGCCTCAAATCTGAGGTCAGGAGGACTAGCACCTGCAGGATCCATCTGGCCCTGTCGTAATGTCAGGATACTGACAGGGATCCAATACGCAGAGTGCGGACAGAAGGAGGTACGTATACCGGACCTTAGAATGGCCGGACTAACGTAGGGACAAAGCAAGAATAGTCAAAAGGTAAGCCGAGGTCGAGGGAGTCGGAGGACAGGTAAGCGAGATACAAGCCGAGTCAAAGGAGAGGAGAGGACAACAGGACAAAAGACAAGCAAGGGTCAAAACCGGAAACACAAGATAAAGAACGCGCTGAGTGACTAGCAAGCTAGAACCACGACAGGGCAATGAGCAGTAGTAAAGGTTTCCTTTAAATACCCTGTTACCTAAATAGAGACCACGCCCCCAAAAGGTCCGGAATAGCGGTTCCCGGCACTTTATGTAAATGCCGACGTCATGACGTCGACGCTAGCCGTCGCGTCATAAAAGGGGGAGGAGCTAGCGCGGCCGGCGCGAAAACGGCCGGAATATGCCGAAATGCTAGGGGCAGGGAGCCCCTAAACAGAGAGGATGTCTTCCCTGGATTCAGCACCAACAGGTACCCTGACAACATATCATTAATGGGGTCCAAGTGACAACACACCAGTTTTTTTATCATGTGAAGCTATTTTCCATTATCCTTGTTTTAATGTGCTTGCAGTAGACATTACTATTGTATACTGTTAATAATTACCAAAAATGTTGGAAACGTTTTGGTAAATTATATTCACTAATATCAACCTGCTCTGCTGTTAATGGTTACAGCAGATAATTACTGAGAAGGTTGGAAGCAAGTACTAAATTGCCTATGTTATAAATGGTAAGTTATAACTCGTTTTAGAGACCTCTCAAAGTTTAAGAATTTGAATCTTATTTAACATATCTGTCTTGATATTTTCTTCCTAGAAGAATAAGCAGTGCAATATAATGACCTTATGAAGTGTTATCAATTCAAGTATGCCAAGGAGCTTTTCTTCATTTCATCTCATTAACTCTCAATATTTTAGCTCTCAATATTTTCGCTAAAACCTCGTTAGATCTGGACACTGGAAGGTAAATTGAATGGAAATTTATAGGTGATTTTTTAAACTGTTACTTTGAGTGTCTCTAAGTGCTTACAAAAGAATGAACTACAGCATGCATTTCAGAAGTCTTTATTGCAGGATTTATTCAAGTGAAATACATTATTACCATCTTTATTTTGACATATGCTTTTAAGCTGAAGCAGAAGTCAACAAAATATTTCATTTGGAAGGCCTAGAGCACAGCTGCATTTTAATGAAGAAACCATATTTGGATCATCCTAAATATATGTGTGCAATCTCTTCTAGTTAAACATGGATGAATAAACTAAAATATGTGGGAAATTGTAGAAAACCTACCTGACTTCTAGTAAAAACTAGAAGTAGTCTGTAAATATTAATGAAAGAGCCGAATAAGGTTTGGGTAGAATTTTAATGATCAAACGTAGTATTAAAACAGCACAGCTGATAAAAATCTTGCCAAAACAGAATTATTAATCTCCTAGTGGCAAGAAAACTGATTAATGTTTTCACACATTAGCATTAAAAAAAAATACTTAACTAAAATAGAGAATGACCTAACACAGAATCATATAAAATGCCAAATCAATGGGGGCAGCTACACACCTAGGAGAACGACTTGAAAGAAGATTAATATTCAAAAAATATTAGTGTGTGCACTCCTGTTGATAAAATGTCAACCAAAAATATTTAATGTGTATACAAAGACAACCGTAATTGATCAAATATAACTCAATAATAAAAAAATCACTATACAACTACCATAAATGAACATAAAATAATTTCTGATTGCAATGTCATAAATAAACAACTGTAGTTAAAACTGTATCACAATGTAGAATAAAATTATAGTTAGTTTAGCATAACACTGTTACAAGCAAACAGCTCAACAATGTAGGGTGTAGCACTATCTGCCAAAAAGCAGGAAGGGGTTTATCACCTAAGTGGTGAACCAACACTGGGTCTATAAACCCCCCAAAAAAGGAAACAGTATGATGCCTATATATATATATTATAGTATTATAATCACAAAAGAAATCAAAATATAATACAAATATAAAAACCTGCAGGGGGAGTAAGCATGGAAGCAATAATATAAGTACCATGAATGAACATAAAATAAATTCTGATTGCAATGCCGTAAATAAACAACTGCAGTCACATAAATAGAGAGCCAAAAAACTACTTTAGATTGTTTAGCAGACCACTGTTGTTACAAACAAATAGCTCAAAAATGTAGGGTGTGGCACTATCCTCCCAAAATGGAAGGAAGGGGTTTATCACCTAAGTGATGAACCAACACTGGGTCTATAAAACCCCCCAAAAAGGCAAACAGTGTGATTCAAAAATATATATATAGTGATATAATCACAAATCAAATCAAAAAATAAACCAAGTATAAAAACCTGCAATAAGGGTAAGCATGTATGTAGCCAACAACCTAAGATCAAGTCTGTTGGGGGCCCCCTACTATGACCCCAAAAAGATGCTGTAGCATGAATTAATACAACCAGCAAGCTCAACCCTTACCTAAAAAGGTGGCTATGTGTCACCTCAGCTCTATCAGGTAAACAGGCAAAATTTTGATCGTGCAAGTCACCACATATAGCACGGACGGAGCAGGGGAGCACACAAAGCTGGAGTAACGGGGTGTGCTGTGGCTGGTATCTTCAAAAAAGTCTGCGGCTGCCTTAAAGAAACAATTCCTTTTGTCTATGGTAAATGGATAACGGACGAAAGCATCTACGCGTTTAGCCTCAGCAAGAGACTTTATCAAGACTAAGGTCCTCAGTCTTTCAGACATGATTTATATATCCTCAAAGCCAACAGAGTCAAGAGTCTTGGAAAACTAAAAATGGAATGAACTAGTTGGTAGAATTTAGTTTAAAATAGATTTATGAATTAGAATGTAAAATTTGCAACAAATAAACTATCCCAGCTTAAATGATCAATACATACAATATACAAAATATATCAAAAACATAAAAAGATTAAAACACCAAAATATATCTGGACCATAGTGTTAATAAGAGAAAAACTAAGATTGAAACTCACTAATACAAACCACAAAAAAATTAGTCTATATGTATTTTTATGTATGTAGCACCCTTTAAATCAGCAGTAGGTCAAAATGACTTCTCATACCTCAGCTCCAGATATTGATAAGCCCGCTAGGATACGTTGTAAATGAATGTGATAGACACATATTTAAATTAAAAGGTTTGATCATTCTCTTCATTTAAACCATATGGTTTTAAAGGGACACTCCAGGCACCCAGACCACTTCTGCACATTGGAGTGGTCTGGGTGCCAACTCCTATCACCCTTAATCATGTAAGTGTAATTATTGCAGTTTTTATAAACTGCAATAATTACCTTGCATGGTTAAGTCCTCCTCTAGTGGCTGTTTCTCAGACAGCCACTAGAAGGAGTTCTGTGTTCTTAAAACAGGAAAAGTGCTTTAAACGACGCTGGACATCCTCACGCTATGCATGAGGACCTCCAGCGTTGCCCAAATCACCATAGGAAATCATTGCATAATGCTTTCCTATAGGGAAGTGTAATGTGTGCGCATTAGGTCTCCCCTGCCGCCTGTCTATCTAGTGGCTGTCTATCAGTGTGGGCTGCCCGGTGGTCTGGTGGCCATTATATCCGGTCTGCATCTCTCGGTCTGCGAGACCCGTCAGAGAGTTGCTGTGGTAACCCGTGGCAATGCTCTGATTAGACAGTTCTCATGAGACACATGGTCTGCAGCTCTGCACATTGCGGAGCTGCAGACCGGTGTCTGCGATTGCTGGCCAGGCAGACAGGAGGGGCCTTGCACCCGGCAGCATTCTCAGCAAGCCGTTGGGCCCCCTCCTGGTGTTGGGTCTTCGGTCACTGACTAAGGACACGACAGTCTGCCCTAAGGCGGTTTAGGCGGCCACAAAGCCCCAGCCAGAGCGAGGCCTTAGGCACCCGCCTCAAACGCCTAATTAGAGAACTGCCTCTGATTATGGTCACTCGAGTATATTTGCTTTTCTCTCTCTGCCAACTCCTAATCTGTCCATTTTCATAATCATTCTTATACCATAGGAATTTGGAATTCTTTTTATTTACCAGATCTTTTTCAAATGAGATCATCCTTTTATTCACTACTTCATCAAATATAATTCCTGGATCTTATCCTCTGGGGGGAAAATGGTAAAATCCTAAGCAAACCATATCAGAAGAAGGTGGATGTCAATGGTTTTTTACATGCATCCAGAGGACATCATTCCACCTGGATCGCCAATGTACCCCTAGGCCAATTCATAAGACTTCGCCAAAACTGCTCTAGGTTGGAACATTATGAGGAAGAAGCCTTGGAACTCTGCCGATGCTTCTTGGACAAAGATTATCCACCTAAATCCATTTTATATGCATATAGTAAGGTGAGAAATACAGAGAGGACATCCCTCTTTACTTTATCACGTAAGCCTAAGGCTAGTACCAAAACTCAGTTGAAGCTCCCTATCACTGAGACACATAACTTCATTTTGCAACTACTAAAGAGATGAGATGCTAAATTTACTCTGAGGTCGAGTAAATTTAACATTAGCACTAAACATATGCTCCCCCAGGCCCATGGGCGTCCGCAGGGGGGGACAAGGGGGGGCACTTGCCCCCCCCCCCTGGATTTTTCAGCTTGTTCTGATATTTTTCGTGTGATTGAAAATGAACTGCAATACCAGCGCCGTCCAGTAGGTGGCGCTGTGTATGGAGAGAGACAGGGATAGGAAGCTGCATCTTATCCCTGCTTCTCTCTGCTGATTGAAACCGCAGGGGAACAACACATGCAGCCAGAGACAGCCTACAGATCAGGCGAGTGAGGGATGGGGTGGGGGGTTTGAGATAGCCTATAGATTTTTTTGGGGGGCAGCAGCCTATAGATTAGGGAGTTAGGGGGCAGCAGCAGCAGCTATAGATTGGGGTGGGGCAGCAGCCTATAGATTGGGGGAAGCCTATGGATTTGGGGGGTGACAAGCCTATAGATTTGGGGGGGTGACAGCAGTCTATAGATTTGGGGGGCAGCAGCCTATAGATTAGGGAGTGAGGGATGGGGGGAGGGTTTGAGATAGCCTATAGATTTGGGGGTGGCAGCATCCTATAGATTTGGGGGTGACAGCATCCTATAGATTTGGGGGTGACAGCAGCCTATAGATTAGGGAGTGAGGGATGGGGAGGGTTTGAGATAGCCTATAGATTTGGGGGGGGGCAGCAGCCTATAGATTAGGGGAGTGAGCATAGGCGTGCGCAGCCTATTGCATTAAGGTGTGCACCCTAAAGCACAAATACACGCCATGTGTATATGTATGTGTGTATAATAATATACAGAATCCAGCGCACTCGCTTATTCACTAAACAATGCTTTCAAAATCTTAGAGATTGTAATAGTTTTATTTAAAAACACCTCACCTAGGCAAAAAATAATGGGGGTTTAAGTTACAGTATATGATCATATATTGCATAAGCCTGCCACAACATCAATGTACCCCATTCTTGGCAGGTCCTACTCTAGCAGCCTAATGCTTGCCCTTATGAGATTGATCCACTTACTTGGGAAATACTTCCTTACTGGGACTCTCTGCAAGTCAAGGCTAACTTCTGTATTTTTTATATTTTGGCCCCAGCAGCACCCTATAATGTATGCATGTTCAGGTGAGTGCAGCCCTCTTGGTTTTGTTTGTATATTTGGGAGTCTAGGCCAGCTCCTTGGTTTTGCACCCCTCCCTGTCACATGTGCCTTATTCCAGGACCCTATTTAGCCTTGACCTGCAGAGAGCCCCAGTAAGGAAGTATTTCCCAAGTAAGTGGATCAATCTCATAAGGGCAAGCATTAGGCTGCTAGAGTAGGACCTGCCAAGAATGGGGTACATTGACGTTGTGGCAGGCTTATGCAATATATGATCATATAATGTAACTAAACCCCCATTATTTTTTGCCTAGGTGAGGTGTTTTTAAATAAAACTATTACAATCTCTAAGATTTTGAAAGCATTGTTTAGTGAATAAGCGAGTGTGTTGGATTCTGTATATTTTATATTTTGGCCCCAGCAGCACCCTATAATGTATGCATGTTTAGGTGAGTGCAGCCCTCTTTGTTTTGTTTATATATACACACTGCTGTGTGAGGGTGCTGGTAGTGTGCTATGTGGGTGAGGGTGTTTTTGTGTGTGTTTGTGAGAGTGCTGTTAGTGTGCTGTGTGTGAGGGTGCTGTTTGTGTGCTGTGTGTGAGGGAACTGGTAGTGTGCTCTATGTGTGTGTGTGTGTGTGTGTGTGAGAGGGTGTTTGTGTGTGAGTGTTTGTTCGGGTCCTGTTAGTGTGCTGTTTGTGTGTGAGTGTGCTGTTTGTGTGTGGGTGTTGTGCAGGTGTTGTGTGTGGGTTTTGTTTGTTTGTGAGGATGCTGTTAGTGTGCTGGGTGTGTATGGGTGCTGTGTGTGCGAGGGTGATGTATGTGTGTGGGTCCTGTTTGTGGGCTGTGTGTGCTGTGTGTAGGTGCTGTGTGTGTGTGCTGTATGTTTGGGTGGAGGTGGGGGCAGATTAGTTAATATCCCAGTCCTGCTGCCTTCCCTGGTGGTTCAGTGGAGAGTGAACTCTAGCCCGGGTTCTCTGCTGCCTCCCTCCATGCTGCTGTGGACCGTGAGGTAGAACTTTGATCTCCCCACCGGCCCATGGAGGCTTAGACCAGAGCCGCCGCTCGGATGCATGAGCCGACCGAGAATATCCCCTGCCGGTCTCAATCCATTGGCGTGCCGCGGGGACTAGGGTGTGCCCATGCACACCCGACACACCCCGTGCGCACACCTATGGAAGTGAGGGATGGGGGAGACAGCCTACATGAAGAGTCAGCAAGGAGCAGGAAGGTAAAGTAAGAAAAGGAGAAGGAACAGAAATGAGAAGGAAGGGACATCAAGGAGCAGAAAGGGGCAGCAAGGAGCTGGAAGGGACAGCAAGGAGCACAAAAGGTAAAGTAGGAGAAGGAGCACAAAGGGACAGAAATGAACAGGAAGGGTCAGCAAGGAGCTGGAAGGTAAAGCAGCACAAAGGTAAAGTAGAAGGAGCAGAACGGGTCAGAAATGAGCTGGAAGGGGCAGAAGGAGCACAAAGGTAAAATAGGAGAAGGAGCAGGAAGAGCCTGCAAGGAGCAGGAAGGAGCACAAAGGTAAAGGAGCAGAAAGAATCAGAAGGAGCACAAAGGTAAAGTAGGAGAAGGAGCAGAAAGGGACAGCAAGGAGCACAAAGATAAAGTAGAAAAGGGAGCAGAATGAGAAAGGAGCAGAAGGGCGCAAAATAAGCAGAAAGTAGCAGAAAGGTAAAAGAGCAGAAGGGGCCAAGGATAAAAAACAGTGTCAGAAGAAATAAAAGACTGTCAAATGAAGGAGAGGAAAAGGAGATTGAAGCAGGAAGGACAAATGAAGTGAACCCTCCACTTTATTCTAGACACCACATCATAAGGCTTTGGTACCTGGGCCAGGCAGGGAAACGCTGGACCTTCTCATCTCCAAAGGTAAAAAAATATCAGTATTAATGTGTTCACTTTTATTTACTGAGTGTCAGGAAGCACAGAGTGCCGTTGGGTAGGGGTGTTACTGATTGGCTAGAGCGGTCAGCTGGCACTCTAAGCCAATCAGTAGCACCCCATTCATAAAAAAAGTAAAAATATTTTATGAACCGGGAACTAGCGATTGGCTTAGAGCGTCAACTGTCCACTCTAGCCAATCAGCGGCACCCATGCCTGACGTCAATCTGCACTTCCTAACACTCTGTTTCAGAAATACCACTGAGCGACCTGGAGCTGTTGGAAGCCTTTGGGGTTAAACCATTTGAGAATGATTTAACCCCTTAAAGGAAAGCGAGCACCCAGGGGCTTCCTGGCATCATAACACTTTCATTTAGGTGATGTTGTTATGGTGACCAGAATGGTCCTTTAATTTGCTTAAAGGAACACTATAGTGTCAGGAATACAAACATATATTCCTGACACCATAGTTGTGAAAACGCTATTCACCCTGGCTTTATGTGATAATGGCTATGCCCCTTCCCTTTCATGACACTGTCAAAAAGGTATCAAGCATGGATGTCATTACAATTATGTCCCCCCCCCCTGGAAAAATTCCTGCGGACGCCCATGCCCAGGCCCTATTTTTTCAACCACCTTTAATAGTTCCCATGACGCTATCATTGGCATTTTACATAAACATCTATGTGACGAGAGCAATCTCGCCACATTGCATTGGAGAAGCCTGGTTGCTCGCCTGCTGCCTTTGGACTATGGCCCCCATGTTAAAAGACTTTGTTTCGCCTGCAGAAAAGCTTTATTCGTGCTTTTCTGCCGGGTGTTCGGTAGATTCAATCTACCAAACAACCGCACGAATGAATAGACCACCTGGGAGCTGGAGTGTGCCGGCAATTAACTTCCCTGAAGCTGCGGTTAACCGCAGCTTAATTGACGTATGCTGGGTGGACCCCATTCGTACCAGTATTTTGAGAATACTGGTCCCAGATGTATTCCAAAAATAGTTCATTCCTTCTCCTTAGGGGAATGTATAGCAAAAAGCCTTTCCTTCCAACACTACCCAACTAGTAGTGCTAAGACTCTTCTAGAGAGAGATTCAGCAAAGATGTAGAGTTCCTACAATACCATGCATTGCCGCTGGGGAGAGGTGCCAACAGCACCCTCTCCTTGGAACTCACATTACTAGGAGGGACAAAGAACAGCAGTGTTCTGTTACTGTAACACAGCAACTCATTATCTTCCCGGAAGGTCGAGGTCCTACATAGCTCAGTCTCCTGGTTATTTTTCTCTGGCAAGGCACTAAATCCCTTTATTTCGCTTCTTCATATGTATAGACCTCCATCCCGGCTCTGTGTTACACAGATTGTTTGACCTTCATTCATTTTTGCTGTATAATCTCAAAGGATTCCTTACCAGGGCAACTGGTATCACAGCAATAATCCACCAATTGTAACCGGAACAGGGGTACTGAACTCAGGCTTAAGGACCAGAACTGAATCTGCTACAGTGTTCACCCCTTCTCCCAGAGTTTGTCTGACAGTTCCTTTCTTCTCTTACAATCCTCAGCAAGTCTCTTGAGGGAGTTTTGAATAGCTTTTTTTTTTGTATATTACCACAAATACCAGACAAGATTTAGTGAAAGGAAGAGCAATGTATGTTTTCTTGGAGTTGACATCATTTTATGTAGGAAAAGGGGAGGGAAAAACATAACCAAAAATGTAACAGGGCTTGTGATAGCAACCAATAAAACTAACAGATCTAATCATATACATTGTAAGCTTGTTTCAGCTGGATCTTCTTCACCTCTTGTATCTGGAACTTGTGTATGTAATTTACTTTTGAATGTGGGATTATACTACTCTAGACTATCATTTCAGCCCTCACTGGACCTTGTCCATGACGAATAGCTGATACCATTTTATGGGATGAATTTGATATAATAAGATTTTCAAATTACTTAATATTTTGGGATTAACTTTTTTTGTGAAAATATTAAAATATCCCAAAATATATTATATATAACTAATATATTAATATATCAAAAATATCAAAATATTTTTGCAAAATATTAAATCATTAAAAAGAAGTATCCAAAAACATTAAATCAAAGCCAAAATGAATAGACAAATGTGACCATAGATAGTTATGTACTGGGAAAGAATATAACAGACCACATGAAAGTGTCTTGGTTTATTTAATGTCAGGCACAGATTTCATGGGCTTAAAAAAAAAAAAAAAAGTCTTTAGATAAATTTTTTAGGCATATTGGCTACCAATACTTGCAATAGATTTATATTCCCTGGTATGCACTGCAAACTTGGAAGTATGGAAGAATGTAAGAAATTATATCTAGAGGAACAGCAACTTTAGACAGTCACCAGCAGGCATGAACTGAGCAGCTGTTCAATTAAATGCTTTTACTTTAAAATAAAATTTTCAAATATTATGTTCATAATAACAATCGATCATAGTGATTTCCCCTTGCATCCTGTCTCCACATTTGTCCATGACTTTGTACCTCTTACCATTGTTATTAGTCTGTATTAGACACTCTACCGGGATGAGACCTTTTATTAGTGTCCAAAAACAGACTAACAACCATGCATACTATAATGTACTCATGCATTCCCTACAAAGCAATTAATAGAGGGGAATGTGGTGGGTGAGAGGGGCATATGCTTCTCCATTAGGCGACAGGGTTTAGGTTGAGTGGGCTCCAAGTCTCAAGACATCTTGAAGGGTTTGTCTCTCAGTCCTCTTTTTCACAGAGACTGTCTCTGAGCATGCTGTGTATCAGCCTTCAGCAGTCTCGGATGGTGACTTGTTCCTCCTCAACTCCAGAGATAAAGTGTTATGGTTAACCATAACACTTTATCTCATTTACTACTAGAGCATGTACGTTAATGCCTGGCATACTGCTCTGTAAAGTGCGGAAGAATTGCATAGGAGTTGCTATTTGAGTACCCATTGTTTGACACAATCTGAGGGATTAATGTTCAAGGATTTGCATTAATTTCCATCACATGTCTTTCTATGCATTTGCGAAAGCCATTAGAATAATGCAAACCTTTTAAAACCAGAGCATTTAACATAAAAAAAAACACATTCTGAACTCATTCCTGGTATTTATCTTTGATTTAGAAATATCCATTATACCTTATAAAAACTATCATATTTCAATAGATATTTATTAAATGTACTGAATATTTATTATTTATGTAACATAATAACATAACATCCTAATTCACTTGATAGTTAAAATAAACATAATATGTGTATATATTATATCTGTCACTACCATGAAGAGTGTGAATGCAAACACGCTGTAGAAGTTTGCGTTAGTGACAATCAAATAATATTTCTAGATTGAAAGTAAGCATTGCCATATGGCACACACAGCCTCTTCTAATGAAGTATTTTAAGCTCAATTGAAATGGATTGTCAGATGTTGAGAAACATATGGATTAATAGACATGATGTTAGCTGCAAATGTTGTAACCACAGAATGCTGTCAATGAAGGCACATCTAAAAATATATTTTAAGTTTATTCATTTGTTAGCTATAGAAATGGATAATTTGTTTATAGTCACTAGAGTTAAGCAGTATAAATTACTATCAATTCAAGAAGTTTGGGGTGATGAAGTCAATATTCAGCTGTAACATTATTATTTCAATAAACATCATGATCTATCATCCCAAATTGCACAGAAGGTGATGTTATCCATGCAATTCCATCCATGACAGTTGATTGATGGGAAAAAAAAGATTGATGGCTGGGGCAGTGGTTAAAAGGGTTATGCACTAAAGTTCAAATACTGAAAGCAGCAAAACCATCTGGTGCCTTATGGAACCATTTAAACTCCCCATTGAGGGAGACAAAACAAGGAACCCCCAATGTCACTTCAGATTTTATGAAAATACAAATAAACTGCTTACTTTAAACACTGGAGGGTATACCAAAATAGTAATCCCACAAACACATGAATAACAGTGATAAACATTGGATTTTGCAAGGTACTTCCTGGTTTCCTGTGATTTCAACTCTTGGCTCCGTCTCCCAGTGCAGTTTTTCCATGACATGTTCCATCCCTGGGATTCATCAAACCATCAGGTAGTGCAGGCAAGGAGCGGTACTCAGCTGACCCTATGTAAGATGTAAAAGCATTCAGAATTTTTTTTTTACTTATTACAAGGAGTCAAATTGATATTATTGTTGGGACTAACAAAATTAAGCCCTAAGCCCTTTCTTGATTTATATGTTGGAAGGCCATTTGGCCTGAATTTGTCAGAGGAGTAATGACCCTATATAAACCCTACCCCCCTACTTACCTTTGTCTTGCAAGCCATTTGTCTCCTTAGTTACCTGCACTTCTGGTTGAGGTTGCCGCCAAAATCTTTCCTTGAGTATCCAGTCCAGCTCCTGTCACTGGCCTCTGGGCTCCTTCACTGGTTTCTAAACCACCTTCGTTACTCGTTTTTCTGGCCTTCCGGCTTCCGGTCACGAGACCGGCACCTACACGTAAGCACAAACGTGGGAAATGGCGTTCGGCTATTTCCCACGTTCGGGCCTAAAAACGCAGGGATAGGCTCCCTTTATTACTTACCTGTTTCATGCCTTACGCTGTTCGTGTACTTCTGCGTTCATGCGTTTAACAGCTGAACGCAGAGTTCACACACACCGTCACTTCTCGTTCGTCTAAAGTACTATGTATTGACCGCTCATATTTACCCTACGTTCAGCTGTTTCACACGTTCGTACACCCAAACACACATACGAACGGCTTTTTCATGCAGCCTTTTTGTTTACCCTAACTGACTGCAGTTGATTTATATGTTAAATCCCTCTCACATGTTCGGTAGCCGAACGCGGGAGGTTTAAACAGGTATTCTCTATAAGCTGTGTGTGTATCCCAGTATGTAAACTGTAATATAACTGTTTCCTATTTCTTAAAAGTGTAAAGTTTGCGTCTACTCCCCTATACAACAAAGACTGTGGGGCACCAATTCCCAGCCCTCCGTTACATTTAATTATGAACAAATTCCCAGCACTCTTCGGTTTCCACACAAGGGGAATCCTCTTAAAGGAACAGTTGGCCTATTAACAATTTATCCTCCCCCCCCTCCCCTGTTTCCCATGCTCATTTCAGACTAGTAATTCATACAGTAATTCTCTGTTCCTTAAATAAACTTTTTCTCTGGGTCCTCACACTTAGAAATGCATATATTTTAGGTTTATCTACTCTTCAGGAAGTGATATCCAGGTTCCAGTTGATGGTATCAGGTAAAAAAAAAAAAAAGGTGTTTTCACCAATTTTACGTTTTTCCTAAAGGTCTCATTCAGTCTCCATGGCCTTACGTTTCCCCCTGAACCCCCATGTGGGATCTAAACGTTTAAGACGCCTCTCCAAGACACCTACTGATTTCACAAACCTGCACAATCGTGCTTCTATTATATTAACGTATCATTTCATGTTTATCATTTCTTCTTACAATTACTTAGACTTACGCCATTTTACGCAGTTCCACTACGTTATCAACTACCAGCAGGCTACCCAGTCTCCGGCATTCAGTACCAGGTAATTTTTATCTTTCTCATTACATTTACGTTCTCTTTGAGGCCTCACTTCGCCTTCATATCATTCGTAAAAATTCACATCTCTGGTTACCCAGGGGCTTGTCTCTTATTATGGACCAACGTTCAGGTACCTCAGCTTACTCCTGCTTACATTACAGTATCTCTGGTACACACCTACCCATACGTTCTACATTTTCACACTTGGCACACCGGTGGCACGCCTCAGGCCCACTAGCATCTCCTTTTTCCTTAGGTTCTGGATCGAGCCCATTTTCTGCAGAAGCTAATTTATAGCCATATCGAAGTCTAACTGTGCTTTGTCCGAACAAACAGGACTTATACTCAAGGTTAAGTATTTACATACGTACATATACATCACTGCGAGAGACAAGCCCCAGTAGTTTAGAGAACCGGCGACTAGGGTTAGGTTCTGACCTTAGCTATCTTAACAATACCCGGTCCCACGAGGTCTACACCCCCACCTCATACACGTATTAGATAAATTCTGAGTACAAGTTGGAGGGCCATTTGGCCTGAATTTGTGGGAGGAGTAATGATCCTATATAAACCCTACCCACCTACACCCATCTATATTAACACTCACCTTTGTGGGCCCTCTTTTTTACAGGCCTACTCGTACGCTGGTTTTGGCACACCTCAACCAACTTTGCTTCCCTTTCTACATTCCATTACGTATTAGATAAATTCCGAGCACAAATATATATATATATATATATATATATTTGTGTTAGGGGCACATAGGCATATAAGGAGTAAAGTTCCAGTATAAGCGTAGGATAGTATAAAAGAGCAGGTCGGCTGTGGTGTGCCAGGACCGACGATAATATGGAGGATAATATGTTAATTCTACTGGTGATGCGTGTTGGCTCGTCCTGGAACGTGGTAGCGCCAATATGTAGCGATCCATGTGCCTGCATAGGTGGGATCGTTGAAGACATCTATCTGTCTGAGTGGTGGTGATGGTAGTAAACTCTTGGCCTGAGAAAACCGTAGAAGGCCATGTACATTGCCGCTTTAATTACTGAGTTGGTAGTAGAATTAAATGGGTGTAAATCCTAATAGATCAGATAAGGATTGGAAAAATTGGTTTTCTATTGGTAATCTCTGAGAGGTACATGGGGGAACTGATTTCTGAATACCTCTGAGTATGTTCTTTATCTGGTATGATGACATGAAGCTATGGTTGTTTGGCCATAGGGTTAGCATGTGGTGTTGAA